TGATGTGATGTGAATCGCTCAATTATTGGTAGTAAACCTTTGCTTTACTAGCCGTTCTGGCTAATATGCTAAGAATAATGCTAACCATGTCACAATTTTCCTAGAACTTCATTTTTCTCATCATATAGTCTGTCAGATTTTGGCATTTTTATCGTTAACATCCTAATAATATTGTGATAATACTGGGAGATTACATTTTTGAATTTTGAATTTGAATATTTATCAACGATGCACCATATGCTGCGGCAATGGCGGATAGTACCTTGTGTTGAAAATAGTGGGACATCTTGCTTGAGCTGCACTCGGTCTTTCTAAATAGTTATGACCCAAACAAATTCTTACATTCAAAAAGGAAAGTAGATAAGATTGATAGTTAGAGTTTCAGTTGGCTCTTTTCAGTGTCCGTTCAGGTTTGGATCCAATATTTTGCATTTATCTATGCTAAATTAGGTATAAAATTTTGTTAACAAAGTTTAGATTGGTGCTGAGCACTCAGAGAAGCAAGAAAAGCCATGAAATAAATCAAATTTAGCTGGGAATGCCGCCGATGACGAGGATAAGTTAGCATTAAGCCCATTCACCATTTTTTGCAATTGTCTGCAACAGGACTGTATGATCAGATCACCCCCGTGCTTTTCTTTACCGAAATGAGACCCGGCATGGAGCGTGTACCCATCAATACCTTACATTTAAAAATGGTGCCCAAGTGGATCAGAAGGAGGGACCCATCTACAAAGTGTTGCATATTTCCCAGATGCAATTTCTATGTTTTGATGTATGCATTTATTTCTAGCATTTTTCTGTCGCATTTTGGCTTTAGATTTTTTCCAACACTATCCATAATCCTAATCGGGCTTTAACTCAATGCATCAAAATGAATTACCCACAACATGTGGGACATTTTCCAGGAAAAACGAAGAAAGCAGGGACCACCTTTATTACGATCGCTTCACTTTGTTGTTCCCAAATAAATCAAGGAGGAAGTACTTACTTGTAAAAAGAGATGGCCAAGAGACACCACTTGAGGATCCTGGCTATATATTTTCTCGATCTTCAGTATTCAATGTGGTTCGAGCATTAATTTTTCGTGGTCACAGTATTGCGAGTACTACCTGCATGTATAAAATACGAGCGCCCCGTTTTGAATAAGATAAATATACCTTCCAGGCAGGGGCGGATGGTCCTTAAGTTCTGCAGAGCTGCAGAACTGCCAAAACTTTTGTTTTAACAGAAAAAAGCAGTAGTAATTTGATCATTATTTATTTTCCATGTTATCGCACAAATATACTAAGTGACATATAAATCCGAACACCCAGTTTAAATGGTTTTATTTTAATAAAATTTTGTATAAGTACTTAATGAAGCATAATAAGTAAATGATAAAAATTTTAAAATGATTGCACTGCTTTAAAGCCCTTTGACCTTTAATAATGTGTTGATGCACCCTGATGTGCTACGCATTCTCCAACGCGCCTAGGCATGCTTCTGATCAGGTGGTCAATGTCCTCCTGTGGTATCTCATTCCAGGCAACCACCAACTCCTCTTCGAAGTGCTTCTTGAGTCTGAAGAGGACGTTGCGAATTGAGCAATCTCCTACCCATCATATCCCACACGCGCTCAATTGGGGATAAGTCGGGAGATCTTGGTGGCCATGGTAACAATGTGACATCATTATGTTGAAAGAAGTCTATTGTGACTCTTGCAACATGTGGTCGGGCATTATCTTGTTGGAAAGTTGGATCTGCCAGGGTGTCAAGATAGGGTAAAAGATGGGGTTCTAAAACTTCGTGGATATAACGCTGCGCATTCATGTTACCTCTTATGAAGATTAAAGGTGACCTGGAACCATAAGCTATAGCACCCCAAACCATAACTCCAACAGTGTGATGAACATGTCTTTCAACAAAAAACTGTAGATTCCTCCTTTCACCACGTCGCCTTCTAACCCTGGCACGACCATCGTGCATGCCTAAACAAAATCGAGACTCGTCACTAAAGACAATACTGTTCCATTCCTGATCCCAGAGTGACCGTTGTCTGCACCACTCAAGGCGATTACGTCGGTGTTCTCGAGTTAAAGGGAGGACCCAGTGTGGCCGGTATGAAAACAAGCCAAAACTTCTCATTCGTCGGTAAATACTTCGCGTGCCAATAGGTCTTCCGTGTTCTGCAAACCATTCATTTGCAATGGACCTGGTAGTGGAGAAACGGTCCCTTAATGCCAATAATCTTAGGCGGCGATCTTCACGGTCTGTTGTTCTACGGCGGCGTCCAGTGCCCCTTGCTCTTTGCGTACGGCCTTCTCGAAGCCATGCCTGACAACACCTAACCACAGTGTCTACACTTCTTTGCAGTCTAACTGCAATTGCCCGAAAAGAAAGTCCAGCTTCCCGAAGTCCCACTATACGGCCCCTATCAAACTCACTAAGTTGACGAAATCGTACAGGTCTCCGTACTCTAGGCATCGTAACCGATCGTAAAGGATGTCAAGAACCAAAATCCGACAACGTTGATTCTTTACTGCGGCTGAAATATTCATTTTTAGAGCGTTAGTGAATTAAAAAAAAGCAGTATAAAAACCGGAATGTCCAACTGATAAGGCTGAAAATTTTTCACTTGTTATTTACAGTAAGATAAATACATTCACCAACTTTTATTAAAATAAAACCATTTAAACTGGGTGTTCGGATTTATATGTCACTTAGTATATAAACAATACCGGCCTGCCCTCGCAAGACACGGCGTCGAGTCTGTTTTGCAGCATTATAATCGACCAATTGTGTATTTGTCATTTTCGTCGCGACCGCAGCGTAACATTATTCATGGGCCACTTGAAAAGGGGCTGTGCACTACTTCGACACAAGCCGCACGCGCTTGCTTTTGTCTCTCTCTACAAAATCAAATGCGCGATTTAAGCATGACGTGGCTTAAAATTTGAATGGGAAACATTTTTTATTCAGGTATTTTGGGTCTTACGTTGAGTGACTAGTGACTCACTGACTGACTTTGGCTGTGTAGAAGGGTAGTGCAAGACAAGAGATGAGGTTTACAGACTTATCAGCGTGAAACGATTCTGGAAATACACATTTGAAGAAAAAATTGAGCTGAAGGTGTCAGGTCGACCGCTGCCGGACATATTTATAGAAACACAGGACGTTAGTCGGGGCAAGGGCTATACGCGGCATTTAATTTGGGAGATTTACACCAGAAATGTGGGTGCAACAGGAAGAATGCCCTTTTCTGCTTTCCTTGCATACTTTTCGGGGGTGACAAAGCTTGGACGGAGATAGGTGTTACAGATTTAATGCACCTGAGTGAAAAAATTAAGAAGCATGAAAACTCTAAAACACATCTTCATAATTCGATGGAATTGGCTTTATTGGGACTCTTAACATCAGATCTCAGTTAGATTCATTATATTGATGAAATATACAACAGCATAATGACACCGTTACAAAAAACAGGTACGTTCTATCAAAAATAATCTATTGTATAAAATTTTGCGGAGCATTTGAATTGACGCTACGGGGCCACGACGAAACCGAGGGCTCCCAAAACCCCGGAATATTTCGTGGACTGATTAATTTTTCTGCTGAGCTTGATACAACCTTAAGCGAACACATAAAAAATGCTCCAATATTTAAAGGAACTTCGAAAGAAATACAAAACGATCCTCTGGATTGTATTCTTGAAGTTTGTCATGAAGAAAGGCAGCTTGCGGTATTCGCCGTATGTTAAACGATTCTGTTTTCGTGTTTTGGTTAAAATTTTTTCATCATGTCATGCCTCACGTCGACATGTTGTTCAACCAGTTGCAGAAGAGAAAAACCGAGCCAGCGCAAGTTAAAACGGCTATCGATAATTTTGAAAAATGTATTGCCGTTGTGAGAAATAGAATTGATGACATAATAAATGAATGCAACAAAAGGAGACGACCTAATAATAGCAGTCACGTTCACCGAGTTGCCGCATTAGAAGTATGCGACAATATAGTGAATTCTGCAAATGACAGATTTCAATTCAAAGATCATTTGGTAGCCGCATCCCTTTTTTCCCCGAACACTTTGGAGAATATTGTGGTAAGTTTCCTGATGACAAGTTGGAAACTACCTGCTTGGATTATCCCGAATTAGAAAAAAGTCCGTTTAAAGACAGAGTTGTCTGTTATTTATGCATGGAATGATTGCCGAGATTTACATGGAACTCTGTCTCTTTTAAAATTTTTTATACAAAATAGTTTGGAGGAAACACTAAAAGAAACAAAAAAGCTATTAGAAACTATTGTTACAATTCCTATGTCAACGTCAGAGGCTGAGCGAAATTTCACAACATTGAAAAGAATCAAGACTTTTCTTCGTAATACTATGATCCAGGATCGGCTTACAGCGTTGTCGATGGTGTCCATTGAAAAGGAATTTATTTCGACCATGGACAATTTCAACGGGAAGGTGATCGACAAATTTGCTGCCAAGAAGCAGCGCAGGATCGAACTGACATATAAAAAATAGGTAAGTTCCGATTTTCAGAATACCTGTTTTATTTTGCCACGAGCCGCCACTGCCTCCAGGGTATTTTTCAGTAATCTGCAGTTGTATCGTGACCAACCACCTTGTTGTACCGAAATGAAGCATGGCATGGGAGAAGTGACGAACAGTATCTCACTTAGAAAAGTGAGGGGGAAGTGGTACAGCTACTGGAAGAACTCTGCAACAGTAGTCTGTATATCTGGTAGGGGCAAAATCGCTAATTTGTTGGTATTCAACCGCTTGAAGTAGATATCTTGCACCAGTTAGGATTTTAGTTGAGAGGTCCAGGAGTTTGGCTCCGTTATTTGTTTCAGTGGAGCATGGAGTAACTGTTCATCAATGTCTTATATTTAAGAAGGCATGCCCATGAAATATTGTGTATGTGGCTAGCGATAGACATCCATGATTAGGTTTCAACTAGCTGCATGGAGTTTCCTGCATGGGGTGGGGTGACTTAATATAAAAACTAAAGACGGTATTAATGTCATATTATTTTATTTCTACTGCCTCTTATAAATGCGTTTGGCTTCGGTTGTTGATCCTCCATCGTTCATTGTCACCACCTGAAAACAAAAATGTAAATATATCGCCATTAAGCTCATTAGAATCTGGAAACGAACAATTTCCTATTAGAAAGCTAAGCTTTTCGTAGATAATGCTAGTATTGGCGGATGTGCATACCATATGCATTCACCATTAGTAGATGTTTCCTGCAGCACTGACTTCAAATAGACCGAGCGAAGGCTGATGGCAGAAACACATCATTGTCACGTCACGTAAACTCTCAAGCAACAGAGCCCCTGTATAGTTGTATAGTTGAATAGCGGTAGGAGAGCTAGAATGTCATAATTTCATCTACTCTGGAGGCCTATAAACCGTGTTCTGAGCCCCCTTTGAGTCCCGGGGCCGAACGCACAGAGCATGATCTTAGATCCGCCCCCATAGGCAATCACTATATGTTAAGCACCGCTCATATATTTCGTAGCACTAGCCTTTTGACACTTACTAATTAATGCCCTAGGAAGTTTATATGCATATTATATATTTACAGAGTGTCTAGGAAATAACTAAAACACCGTACATTTTTTGGAAATAAAGGTTCTAAGAAAACTTTAAAAATAACAAAAGTAATTTCTCGATGATCGCAGATACGACCTTAAAATTATTGTGAATTGACGCTCTCACTAACTACGATTAAAATACGTCTTCCTGTAACTTTGTTTTATATCACTCAGATAATAATTGTATAGAAAAAGGATACCACCCGAAACAAGGTGGCCTTAATCATCATCAATCTCAATTCTTACAGTGTTTATTTCTTAGACTTATTAGCCTGTTACTCCTGTTTATAAAATCTATAAAAAACTTATAGAAACAATGTAAATTATACTTGAAGTAACACAAAACATCAAAAAAAACTATGTCAAGACCTTCAGGCTAAGGAATGCAAATGCCCTATTTATATACTCAAAGAAATACAACACCAGTTGAGAAAGGCAACTAAAAAAATAGGACTAACTCAAATTCTGATAGCAGATTTCTATATGCTTTGTAAATCATTATTACTAAGCAATATCCAGCACTCACAAACACTTGAAGTTATTGTGACTCCTTTCAAATTATTTCTTACTTAAAATAATAACTCTCCTACAATTTTTAAATAAATGTGCATAGTATACAGTACGAGGCACATCCACCACTAATTCGAACAGAACTACCGGGTTTTCTCCACAAGAAATTTACTTAAAACTACTATTTATAAGCACGTTCCGAATAGAAAAATAAGGACAAAAACAACCACAAAGAACCTTTTTTATTGTTACCATTGGCATTACATACAGGCTCATTCTCTGTTTGTATGCACAAATGACCTCTAAGCTTTAAATGAATGCTATTTGCCCTGGAGAGGGAATAATAAAGACGTAATTTCCCTACAAAAGACTGTTTACCTACCACTTCTATTCCGGTGTCAGTAAAAGTATACACTCTGGTGAGGGACTTTGCTCTGCCGTCTGTCGGAATCGATTCGATTGTCAAGGTGTTACCGACCAATTTCGCAGTGCTCTACAATTCAAGTACGAATAAAGTGATTAATTAGATGTAATTCGTTTAAATTCATCAAAGATAAGTTTATTTGGTATTGGCAATATAATAAATATTAGAATATATATTTTTTCGGAAACACAACCATGCATTTTTTATTTGCGCCCTTTGGAGCAGTCCTGGAGGCACCCATGGTAATTGGTATCTGGCAAGACACTAGCTGTCACATCTGTATAATCTGTGGTCATAAAGTAAAATCGATCTTGATTTTTTATAATTTACGATATTTTATACAAATGGCGTCAAGTAAGTTGACCCTGTACTTCCTAAGCAACGCAGATTATATTCGGCACAAGTTAGTCCGTTTTAGACTAAAGCTGGCTACAAACATGAATAACAAAGAAATTAAATGGATTATGTCAGTAAAATAAATTCATACAATTAGTCCATAGTCCTCTCAGATTTAACAACATTGTGATTTAGCCTACCGCCCTACCGACTGCCATGCAACGCGGCAACGCAGCACGGCGTTACATATTCGGAAATTAAACACGCACCGTCATTCAGTGATTCATTTATCCCTCGGCACTCGAAGCCTATAGACGTACGCATGTTCAGTTGTTCGGCAGGCATATACATATATTCAGGTTTTAAGGGCAAATGTACAAGAAAATCTATGATATATGAAATATGACTAATAGGTGCGTAGAATTACCGGGGCTGGACACGTATAAATTGCTAACAACAAAAATCGATATACACTTTTCCCCTCCCCCTATAACCCCCAATAACCAATTTTCATTGCCAGCAACATTTTTTCTGACAATAATCAGGGTCCACTGAAAAACCGAAGTTTCAAAGATTTGTATTATTATGTTTTTGGCCTTCTACTCCGCCGCCACTGGATTTTCATAAACAAGCTTTTTCGTCCTTGGCATTGTAGGAATCTTATATGCAAATTCCATCAAAATCCGAAGTGCACTTCCTATATTATAGAGGAGCCAAGAATTAGCGGACAGACAAACCTACACACAGACGTGAATGAGAGACATGGTTTTGTATATTATACATGTCATATAACACCCAAAAGCCATAATATCTCATTTTCGAAATTTTTCACGATTACAATACTTCCTTGCCAACTGGCGTAAGGAGTCAAAATTGATGATTCTTGATTTCATTTTGAACACATCGCGGACGTACTTAATGACAACTGCTACATCACATTTATTGGACAGTTCAGAATTGACATTTACACTTACGCTGCATCGATATTCAGGCGCAATGTCTTCCTGAATCGCTTTCCCAACATGAAATTCGACCTCACTATTTCTTAGTGCCGATTGAGTGGTCAGTTTAATTTTATCTCCATTTACCTCTACGGTCAAAAGGGCTCTATCCTCGTTCGCGTGTTTAGCATGTTCTTCTGGAATACCTATAATATGGGGTTTATAACAATTACTAAGGTAACATTATACAGGTAGTTCTGCATTCTTGTTCAGCAAACTATTTGGCCAACTGTGAAGATAAAAGTAAACCCCAAAAGCCACCAGAAGGTATTTTTCTCTAGTGACCTTTTTGATTTAGATGAATCAATAATCTGAATACAAAGGAATGAACGACATTTATCAAATAATAAAAAACTTCTCCGCAAACATTCATGTACAGGATGGAAAATATTACTAATATGCTCCATCAATTTCTATATACAGTGATTTTCAAAAAGAGTCCCTTTTCCAGATCAATTTAGCAAACTGAAATTCCGCATGGTGAAATTGGTGCATGAATACTATATTTTAGTGTAAAACTGAGTTCATAATTTCAAGATGGTGGCATGGCACCATCTCAGACCATTTTTTTCAATTGTTATCTTATTTAGAAGCTCCTTATGAGTGCTATGTAACCTTGGAATGTTAAACCATCTTTAAAAATGACGTACTAGCGTGTAAGTTAATTGTTTTTGCACATTGAATGGGTTATAACACAATATCTAACCATAAAAACTCTATAGTATATTATATCAATCTATTACTTTTGAGAGCGTCTATTTGAATGTGCAATAAAATGTGTGACATTCCATTCTAAAAAATTGCCATGTTTTGACATTATGTTTTGAATACAATGTTTCAGGTATAATTTCACGTCCGAAAAGATTCTTCCAAGAAAAGGTTATTTATATAACACAATATAGCATTTTGATGATTGTTTATCAGCAATGCAATGTACAATATGAGATACTACATGGCCCCCCATTCGATTTAAAGAAAGCGCCCAGCCGCCATCACATTTTTTTAACTACAATTTTTACGAATTTTAGCTCGTTAACTTAATCCATTAACAAGGTATGGTGGATCTTTTTACTCATACCATACAACTCAAGTATAGTCAACGCCAAACAAAGTGGCGTGCACGTCATCACGATAAAAATTCCCCGACCTAATGCCTAGGTTTCTATCACAAACAATTGCTCTACTGCAGTTTCATATTAATGATATATTAATGATATATAAATTGTAAAATGGTCATTACTCTCTTATTATGGTTAATAGTCATATAAACATTGTTATTAAAATATCACATAAGTTGCTTTCTGATAAATTTAGACGCATTATGCGAAATAAAATGTTTTGCAAACGCTCCAATCACTTATCGACATGTAAACGCACTAAACCGATTTCACAGCGTTGACACATTGTCACCTTGAAACTTATTTAAACTGGGAACTGACATTTGTATTAATTTTGACACTGAATCAATTTGTGGCATTTCAAATCTTTATAAATCCTTTGGCCCCGCATACTGTAAATCAACAACTGTTTGTTTCAAAACAAAATTATTCATTTTACGAGTAGATAAAGGCAATTTTGGTATATAAAGATGCCCAAACAGTTAAATAGTCGGTGTAAGGAACTCGTGGCCTCGTTAATGCACTACTTTGAGCAAGAAAGGGACAACAACGGGCCTTTGTTGCCTTTAAATGCTGTTCTAGAGGTAGGTTACTAATAATTATATGTAATGTATATTAATAATAGTGAAATTTTATTTCATTTTTTGTAGCGTGTTGCTGCTGCTTTAAAAATTAGTTTAAGGACAGTTAGTCGTATTTCCGAGGGTGTGAAAAGTGATGCAAATTTAGAATCGCCCAAGAAAAAGCGGAGTTATATTAAACGTGTAACCAACACAGCGACATTGGATACAAGTGCCATTCGAGAAGTGATCTATAATATGTATCACAAAAGTAAGATCTTATTATAATAACTTATCAGAAATTTGCATTAATTTGTTAACTAAATTATAATGTCATATTACACATGGTTTCAGAAGAACAAGTTACGATACAAACTTTATGGTCTCGATTAAGAGATAGGGCATTATTTGATGGTAGTGCCACGTCTTTAAGGCGGTTGCTTAGAGATCTTGGATTTAAGTGGCTTAAGGACAATCCGCGGCGAGGGCTCATGGAACTACCAAGTATAGCTTTGAAAAGGGTGGAATTTCTAAGGCAATACAATCAAGCCAAGGTTGAGGCCTTATACCAGTTTGTCTTCCTCGATGAAACTTGGATATTTCAAAATGGGACCATAGGTCGCTCTTGGCAAAATGGAAACCAAAAAAGCGTGAAAGCTATTAAAACAGATGGTAAAAGGTATGTACTTTTACACAATTTGCACTATAAAATTTAAAACTAATATATTTTAGATACATTATATTACATGCTGGAAATGAAAATGGGTTTATTGAGGGTAGTGAAGCGATATTTTCTTCGAAAACAAAATTGAGCGATTACCATGGAGAGATGAACCAGGACAATTTTTTGAAATGGTTTCAACATCAGTTATTAGAAAAAATGGAGAGTCCATCTATGATTATACTGGATAACGCCCCTTATCACAGCATGATATTGAACAAAGTGCCCAACAATGCATGGACAAAAAAAATATCCAAGACTGGTTGACAAATCAAAACATACCATTTTTAAACACAATGTTTAAAACAGAGCTATTGAGTATTGTTGCTCGGTACATAATGCTTCTTAATTATATATATTTTGGTCGACAGTTTATATTTCTTTTGTTTATTCCTATTCTTAAAATAACTGCTTTTTTAGAAACAAACCACCTAAAATATACGTGATTGATGAATTGGCGGAACAACATGGGCACAAAGTTCTTCGTCTGCCTCCTTACCATTGTATATTTAACCCTATTGAGTTAATTTGGGGCATAGCAAAAGGTTACTATAACAGACATATTGGTAGAGATGGTAACAGTGAAAAAGACTGTTTGGATATGTGGAACGAGGCTCTACAAACGGTTACCCCAGACATGTGGAAAAATAGTGTTCGACATACTGAGCAAGAAATTTTTAAATGGTATGAAAGAGAACGAATTTTTGATCGACCAGACATGGAACCTTTAATAATCAACTTTGAGAGTGATGAAGATTCAGATTCAGACAGCGCTGAAGAAAGAGACTCCGACTAACTTTATTGTACAGAAAAAGCTTACACCAGTAGCTTACCTAATTTTAGAATGCATTTTTCTGTATGAATTCTGTAAAATAAATACCATGCATAAAATTTGGAGGACCCCATTTGGATGTTTATTCAGTACCTTTAAGCTATCAATTAAATATGGTAGTTTCATAGTGTCATCTGATCAATAATTGTCATACTTAATGATTATGCAAGTACAGATCTATAATTTTATTATACTATTATTTTTGTTCTCATTTGAGGTTAATATTGCTTATAAACCTAGATATGTAAATAATAAATTTTATTATTTTACAAAAAGTTTGGCAACAATGTAAATTTTTCAACACACCCACCTTGATGACGTGCACGCCACTTTGTTTGGCGTTGACTATACAAAACAGAGTGTAAATCACTGAGAATGACAAAACTACCTCAATGCTGACCATCCATTGGTGCTTAATTTGGTAGAGGGAATTGGGATGAAATCGCATGTCGAATCTCAGCCAAAAATAGCACCTCTCCACCACTACTATTAGAACTACCACTACTACTATTACTACTACTACTTTAATGGCTCAATCGATAATTCTGTCTCAGATAAAAAATTGTATTGTGTAATCTTTTTCTATTTTTACAACCGAAATTGAAATGAATTATTATTCATTTCAAGCTTCATGATAACGATGATCTGCAAGAATAAATATTAGAATTTTTTATCAGTCAGACGATAAACACTTGACTGAAATAATTGCACTGAAAATAAAGATTATGCAATTTTCACTCAACAACCTTGGTATGAAGTGGTTGAAAAAATCGACCTACTAGGGTTTCTGATGTACATCAATCAGTTAAAATTGAGCCGTAGCGAAAGCTTTGCATGGAGCAATTCCACTCATCACGGACTGACAAGCAAACAACATTTTTCGACACTTTCTGTCATACTGATAAAAGGTGGCATGATGTAGGTTATATCTGCACTTTGCACGCAACGCCGCTATCCTTTCACAAAGGAGAAGGTTAAGCACAACTAGGCCCTCTGAGAAAAAAGTCAGTCAAGCAGGTCTACAGAATTAGTCCATAGTCCCCTACTGGTGATTCATCTTTAAACGTCGCCTCCCTCCGATACTTGGTCAGACGTGACAACGCGGTCAGAGCATGTGGAACACTAAACTGTGACACATAAATACATATAATACCATACCAGAACAACACTCACTAAGGCTGTTGGCATGCCGCCGGGAGCAGTAGCCCCAGCCAGTAGGTACGTGATACGACTGCTGATGATATTGTTAAGGGCCAATACGAGTATAGAAAGAATCCTATGATGTGTGGAATATGTGTAGAGTTCCCAAGATTGGGAGCTTATATATGTACTAAAATCAAAAATTCAGATAAACCCTCCCCGCCCTCCCACAACTCCCACCCTCAAGTGTTTTTACGTCTAAAAGTTTTTTCAATAGTGATTGGGATCCTCTAAAACGTTAAAAAACGGAGTTCGAGCGATTTTTATTCTCTTTCGTTTGTGGACTTTTCATTGCCGGCACTAAACTAATTTTTTCTCGTAGCTATGGATGTTGTGATTGTCCGTCGGTGGTAAACGGTCTCTGACTGTCGAACGCAGACGTACCATCCGGTGGATCTCGTACGCGGGGCCAGAATGTGTGCATGTTGCATGCACACGTGTTTCCTCGCCAGAGTCCGTGTGGCGTTTCCCCTTTCCCCTGTATCCCCCTATAGCCCCACGGTGCCCCATGGATGTTTAGGCCTTATGCCTTCGTGGTAGTTGGAGTATAAAAAAATTACACTACCGTGGAATTGCTCCAAGATTCACACTTTCAGTATAAGAAAGTATTTTCGTACCAAAATATAAAAACTTCTCACTATTCGTCTAACTGACTGATTAGGCTATTTTCTAGGTAAAATTACTTTTACGTTGAGCAGACTTTATATTTCCGAACATCTCCTATCATTGATAAACTATTATAGATTTCAAAAATGCCCTCCAGGCATATTCTGAGGATCTGCGACTGCTTTCACCGATTTTTTTTAATATGAATGTTAAAAACTAGTTAATATACCAGGCATAATTCAAAATGGATATCATGTTTTGCTTACCCTGTTTTTTGAGTAATTCAACGAAGTTCTCATTCTTTTCAAGCTTATATTTTCCAGCAATTTGTACCATTTTGCAAATCAGCTTATATCACAATTCTGCCTCAAATTACAAATGTCTCAACTAGAAACAAGTTATTCTTTAAATATACTTTGCTCTTGAGATTTGTGTAATTGAAGAGCTCTACGTCATATAAAAATTAGCTTATTGATAAAACTGGTGCGATAAAAATTCTAAAGATGATAATTCACAAACCCACGACTCGATTAATTGGAACTACCGACCCTCTCGAGTTCAAGTTTAATATTATTTGATCTAGGTATTATACGGGATGTTTTAAAAGTGAAAAATCTTTTATTTCCAGACATACATCAGAAGCAATATATCAAGGGCTTCCACAAAAATGTTCATTGAGCCTCTGCAACGTAGGATATTAGCAGGGTGTTCATTTGAAAACTTCTCACCACGAATTTATCGAAAACCACTGATTAAAAGAAAAAACGCCGAGACACGTCAAAAGATTTGCTTAGGGGAGAACTTTTTAGTTTGTTTGAGAAGTCTTCCGAAGTCCTTTATTTTGATTTCTTAAAATCGGTTGATTCGTTTTCAAGAAAATTAGAAAAATCTTTATTTATCTGAATTTGTTCAGATAGAAAACAAAACCACACGAAAATATCACTTTTTAATTCAGTAAGTGTTCAAAATGTTGCCAGTTATTGGCCAAACAATGATATAGGTGATCTTCAAATTCCTGATGGACATTTTCAAAAACATGTTCTGGGATATCATGGCAGCTTTCGATGATGCGTTGACCAAATTCATCCAAACTTTCAGGTTGGGGAATGGCCCCATAAAAAAAGTGCAAAGGCGTCAAATCAGGAGATCTAGCAGGCCACTTTGTAGGCCCTCTTCGCCGTATTAATTTATCTGGAAACTCGTCGTCTAGCCATTGCCGAATCGGAAGAACATAGTGAGGAGGAGCGCCGTCTTGCTGGGAATATATTTCAGCCTCATCAAGTATAGAGTTACCATCCACTTCGATTTAGTTTTCAATGGTTTCAGTGATAAGTGGATTGATGGTATTTTCCAACATATCCAAATAAATGTCTGCAGTCAAATTTCCATTAATAAACAATGACCCAATCAGTTTGTTTCCTACAATGGCTGCCCATACATTTTTTGGGGGTACTGGGTATGCTTCGATAAAAACATGAAGATTTTCATTGCCCCAATACCTGCAGTTTTGCTTATTAACAAATCCATTTATATAAAATTCGCATTCATCACTGAAGCAGATATTCTTTACATGAATGCTATTATCATTTTCGCTGCAGTCATTTGTTCACAAAAACTCAACTCTCCTATCGAAATCATCCTCGGTCAACTGTTGCAATATTTACATTTTTAATGGATGAAATTTATGAAGCTTAGTAACTGTGTGTACAGAGCCTAATGAAATAGCAGTCACAGCAACAATTTTGCGTAATGAAGTATTAGGACTTATTCCATAAATTAGAATCATTTCCACTCTTTCGGCTAGTGTGTAAGCCATTTTGGAAGTAAAATCTGAATCAATAAATTAATTTTCACTATCCCAAGATTCTCACAAAGCTAACTGACAGCAAATTAAATTCTTTCTTTCCCTTAGCAACGAATAACTGAACAGGTATAACATTAAATACAGTTCGTCCAGGATAACTGTGTTGACAAAAATTCGGAAAAAAATTCGGTTATTTACTTGCTGCCACGTCTAATCTTCCGAATTGCTGTTTATGTTGGTAGTTTCCGGTTCAAATTATAAACGAATTTTTGATTCGGCAAGCCCTAACGGCCAACTTATTGAAATAAAAAGATACATTTTCGTGAGTTTTTATGTTTTCTATCTGAACGAATCAAGATAATGAAGATTTTTCTAATTTTCTCAAAGACGACTCGACTGATTTAAAAAAAATAAAACCTCAGAATAAGGGACTTCGAAAGACCTTTCAAACAAGCTATTACTCGATACTTCTTGTCATTTAAATTTTTTAAGGGAATGGCCAGGTCGAGGGTGAAAGACGGTGAAGTAGTTTTTTGTTAAAAAGTTGTCCCCCTTGACAAATATTTTGATGTGTCTCAGCGTTTTTTCTTTTAATCAGTGGTTTTCGATAAATCTGCGGTGGGAAGTTTTCAAATCAATACCCTGTGAACCGCGATTGGTCGCGAACGATCCGACGGAATATCGATATCGTTACCGTGATCACCGGAACCAGATTTGGGGTAGAACCCTACCCAAATCGAGAAACCAAGAAGACAGCAGCCCAGAGGACAGAAGGAACATCTGCTCCAGGACAGGCAATCCAGCAGTGGCCCAGGCATACGGACACATGGGACGGATTGGATTACTACTGTAAGTACGAATGTCTTACAGGGGTGAAAACAATCAAAAGCTGTTTGATGATACATTGAGTGATACTGATTCGGACTCACAGTCGGATACGGAACATATCCAACATAGTTTAAGGAATTTGCAATTAAGACCTAGTATACTAAATAGTACAGTCAATAAGAACAACAGTCAAGTAAATCAATCAAGCATGTCATTACGCCCAGAGTATCTTAACATGATACCCGAATTTTATGGTCAACAAGAATTATTACCAAGATTTATAGATATTTGCGAAAAGTTAGTGAATAAATTTTATAGATTAGAGGATGAAAATTACTTCCAGAACGAATATCTTATGAGTAGTATTTTAGCGAAAATCAAAGGTAATGCAGCTTTAAATATTAGTAGCAATATTATAAAAAATTGGACAGACTTGAAAACTGCACTTTTAAATACATATCAAGACAAGCGTGACGTATTTACTCTAAATATAGAAATATGTGAATTGAAACAGAACAATGAAACCCCCTTTGAATTTTATAACAAAGTTCAGAGTTTATTGAATTTACAAATATCATTTTTAACTACACATTGTGTGAGTGAAGAAGCTCAGATAGTATGTAATTTTTGCAAAAGCGTAGCATTAAGAGTATTTCTAAAAGGTTTAAAGGAACCTCTAGGATCGCTCATGAGGACGAAAAATCCTACAGACTTGAATGAAGCTCTGAATATATCAACTAACGACTTTCAGCTTGATCATAAGGTAGATAAACATAAAAATGTTAATCGAAATAATATGCAATTAGTTCGTCATATGAACAACAACTTTGGTAATTATAGGAATCAATACCAAGCGGTACAGCGTCCAGTATTACAAAGACAATTTAGTCCTAATAATGTACGACCAAATAATTCTAATCAGAATAGAACGAATTTTTACAATAATAACGTTTTTAGACCTAATCAGATCAATAATCTGCCAAGGCCTACTCCGATGAGTACATCCACTAGACAGACGTATCAGCAACCAAATTTTCAAGGTAGAAATTTTAACAGACCTAGTGCAAACGCAGAACAGGCTATGTTTAACTTGTGTGTACAAGACAAACCTTTTGTAGAATTTCCAAATGATGACAATTACGAATGCGCTTATTCTCAGAATAATTCTGACGATTTTTTATGGCAAGAAGCCTCGGTACAGAGACAACCACAAGTCTCAACGGACCACCAAAGTCAATTGAAATTATGAGTTTAACCGACAAATGTAGCAAACTACCATACATTGTATTTCCGGAGTATAATCTCAAAGTATTGATTGACACTGGAAGTACAAAATCTTTCATACACCCTGAAATTGCGAAAAAATTATTTTCAAGACATATTCAAAAAGACCCATTTCAAATCACTTCAGCCCATGGTTCATCTATCGAACAATATAGTATGACAATACCTTGTCCAAAGATTTTTAAGAATCCAAATATTCTCATGAAATTTTATTTATTCAAGATTCACGAACATTTCCAATGCCTTTTAGGACTCGATAACCTGAAAGAGATATTGAATGCCAACATTGATTTGAGCAATGATCTTTTAGTCACACCCACAACAAGGATAGCCATGCAATATCACGAGATTACGAAAAATTCTTCGAACGTTATCACTGTTCCACCTAGAACAGAACAGATAATTAAAGTTAACATAAAAAATTTAAAAAATGGTAATGCTATTATTCCATACAGAAAATTATCATGTTTAGAAATCCCTGAATGTCTTACTACAGTGAAAAATCACGAAGCGATTTGCACAGTATTAAATTTATCTGAAGAACAGATTTCTCTTGACATATCTCGACCAATAGATGTAGAAAATTTTGAAAATTACGAATTTTCAGAAAATTCTGATACACCGAATATTAATTCTTTGAACTTTCAAAAATATAAATTTGATATTTCCAAAATTGGGACAGAACATATGAACTCTGAAGAAAAAGACGCAATCACCAAGTTAGTAAGAGAGTATTCAGACATATTTCACATCGATGGTAATTACTTAACTTTTACGAGCAAAATTAAGCATCATATACGTACAAGCGATGAAATACCCATTTACACTAAATCATACAGATATCCTGAAATCCACCGAAAAGAGGTACAAAAACAAATACAATCAATGCTTGATTAAAAAATTATTAGAGAGAGCCATTCAGCGTGGTGCTCACCTATATGGATTGTTCCAAAAAAATTAGACGCATCGGGAAAGCAAAAATGGAGAATAGTCATAGACTATAGGAAATTGAATGAAAAAACATTGGGAGATCGTTATCCTCTTTCAAACATAACAGATTTGTTAGATAAATTAGGGCGATGCCAATATTTTTCAACATTAGACTTAGCTTGAGGTTTTCACCAAATAGAAATGGCAGAAGAAGATATTCAAAAAACTGCATTCAATACAGAAAATGGACACTACGAGTTTACAAGAATGCCATTTGGACTAAAAAACGCGCCAGCGACTTTCCAGCGCGTAATGGATAACATACTGAGAGGTATTCAAAATGAAAAATATATATTTAGATGACATTATAATATTCAGTACTAGTTTACAGGAACACATTTCTCGACTTAGAGAAGTTTTTGAAAGGTTACGTCAGTCAAATTTTAAAATACAGTTAGACAAATCGGAATTTCTTAGAAGTATCGTATTTAGGACATGTTGTAACGGCGGATGGTGTGAAACCAAACCCCGATAAGATAAA